CGCAGCCTCGACCCGCCGGGCTCCGGTGATCCTTCCGCCTCAGCCTTCCGAGTAGCCGGAATTACAGGCGTGCGCTACCACGCCCGGCTGATTTTTGATTTATTGTAGAGATGAGGTCTCGCCAAGTTGCCCAGGCGGGTCTCGAACCCGTGGGCTCAGGGTATCCACTCACCTCGGCCTCCCAAGGCGCGGGACTACAGGCTGAGCCACCGAGCCCGGCTTGTCTGCTTTGTTTTTAATCAAAATTCTTATGCTAGTGAAACATCTAGCTTATATAACATAACAAATCCCTCATCCACTGACATAGTCTTACAGTCGAGATCTGTAAAAACAGGCCGTGTGAGTGTGTGGGCCAGGAGTGGTCTGGGCACTTTGGGAGTCCATCTTAGGGAAACTTTCCCGTGAACTCACCACTTTGTTATGGGCCATTAGCTGAAGGATGCTGGGCGTCACCCTGCTCCAGAACTCCAGTGCTGTCAGTATCGCCGTGAAGCTGAATTCATTCTGACTCTGGACATTCGTGGCTACAGCACTTTGCTCACAATACACCGTCCAGAGCTGAGCAAAGATGAACGCGTGGAAGAGGGAGCACATGTGCAGCACGGAGGTCTGGAAAGGAAGAGGACGGTGTTGGAGCGTCCTACGGGCGGTGGCCCTGCACGGAGCCTCCCCGCTCGCTTCTGCCTTGCCAGGGAGCTCGGAAGAGCTACGCCAAGTGGCATCACCTGGAAACAATCTGCTCTTCACCTAGCCAGGGGGCGTGTGCTCAGAGATACAAAGTGTCTTTTCTACCAGCGCCCACTGTGAGTTGCTGACGAAGTCTACCCACCCCGGCCTGCGCTACACGAGATGAGAGAAGCCATTCTACCATTTTAGGAAGCCTCCCCGCCTGTAAAATGGGGTAACAGCCGCGTCTTCAAAGAGTAGCAGCGAGCGAAGCGACGCGTGTGAACACACAGCCCAGCACGTCACTGAGACAGCGGCTGCAGCAGTCAGGACCCTGGGGGGGCTCGCTCCGAGGCTGCCCCCGAGTGAGCCTCGAGCAGACCCGAGACGTGCTGAAGACTCTGCAGATCCCGTGTGGCTCTCACCCCAACCCTCATCTGTTTTACAGATAAATTCTGAAGCTCAGCGAGGTCAAGTAACTCAAGCTTGCAAACTACGGTCACAATGAACTGTGAGGAGCCGACTGTCTAACTCCTTTTGCAAGCGTCATTCTGGTCACTCGGGTGGGTGCGGTATTGTAGCATGCGGCCAGCTTGCCCTGGCTAAATTCCAGCTGTCCCCAACCCCACTGTGACCTTCCAGGGCTTGCCTAAGCTCTGTGAAGGGCCTCTGGCTCTCGGAGGCAACTGGACGTGGGTGGACGTGGGTGCATGCGGGCGGACGTGGGCACGTGTGGGTGTATGTGCGTGCAAAGTGCCGGTCTGGACCATGTGTCTAGTCTGCTTGCACGGGCTCACGTCTTTTGCCGCCCTTAGGTGGCAAAAGTTTCTTTCTTTTCGTAAGCACATCACCTGCCTCTACAGTTGACAAAGTTCCTCCGTGTAGGAGACTCCATGTGTGCTTTAGTGTGGTCCCAACTGGCCTTGTTAATTCCATTTTGAATCTTCACATCACTAGAGATTTGAGTTGAAAAAATTGTGCGTGAAGAATTAGATAGAGAATAAATGTTCCTCCAGTCTGTCTTTGGTCTTAAAAACTGATCGCATAACTGTGATTATATTTCTGGTCTTTCATTTCCCTTCATTATTTTGAGACAAATGCTTAGGAAGACAATGCTTGCTTGTCTCCATAATTTATCTTCATAAAGTTAAGCTGAAGAACAATTTAGGTAGAGAAAGATAGTCTGGGAATTTAAACCCGTTTAAATAAGGCATTAGCAAAAACTTGCTTTCCTGACATCCACAGAGGGGCAAGCGATAAGATGCACTTTCTTCTCAGAAGACACGTAATTGGCCGATAAGGCTTCCATTAGCGATGTCGATGTATATGGTCTTAACCTCGCCGAAATCTCTTACCTTGGATTGCTCTGGAAATCCAATCAGGATGACAATAAGATGGTCTGCAACATGGGAGCCCGCGTCCAGAGGAATGGGCAGGCAGGGGGAGGAGGCGTTGGGACACACCGCGTTATGTGTGAGGGAGCCCAGGAGCAGCCAGGACAGCAGACGGATGTGCGAGACACACTCGATGAACTCCTTCGGTCTGTTTGAGAGAAAGGAAGAGGTGAGATGCTTTCATGTTTTCTGTGTCATCGGGCATACAACGGACATGCACTGAAGGAGGGGATTAAAAGTGCTGCCTTGCGATCGCATGAAATCAAACGCCAAGGCAACCGCGCGTCAACCACACGACACGTCTGTTTTTCCTGTTTTCACTCTAATCCTGGCTATCTGCCTCCTGAGCGCAGAGCAGCCTCTGGTGACCTGGGATTAAACAGCATTCCTCCTCGAACCCGACTGCCACCCTGGCTGGCTTTTCCTCCGTTGCTCTTTCTCTCTGGCCTCCCCACTGGGGGTGGGGGGAGGGAAGACAGGAGGAGCGAGGAGACGATGACGTGCAGCTGCCCACTCTCCGGCCCCCGGGGGTCTTCTCCCCTGCCCCGCCCCCTCCTCCCACCCACACTCGTCCTCTGGCCAGGAAGGTGGCAGAGGGCAGCCTCCGAGCCCCCACACGCGCCTCGCCCTTGGTCTCCCAGGAGGCAGGGTCAGGGCCGTGCACACCCCAGCACCTGTCTCATCCCTCCCCTGCTCTTGTTCCCGCTACAGCCCGAGCTGCTCGAAGGCCGAGGCGCATCCTGTCAAGGCCCCTCTGCTGAGTCACTGAACTCGCTGAAGCAAGAGAGCGTTAACGGGGTCGCTCCGGCTCCACGCTCTCGTCACCCACTCGGATGCCTGGGCTTCTGCAAGACGCCGCGCCTCTCATCGGCAGCGGGCCCCGTGGTGCTCCGGGCCAGCCCGTGCGACGGAGCCAGGCTTCAGCTTCCATCTGCCAGCCCCCCACACTCCGGCTCGGAAACCGCCCCCCCCCCCCCCCC